CAGGAGGAAGGATGGGTGAGGGACCACCTGGTGGCTTTTGAAAGACCTGGGGAAGGCAGGGACAGCCTCACAGAGGGGCTGGCGTCTGAGCAGAGTGCAGGCACACGGTGCTGGTGCATGGGGCATCGAAGCGGAGAGCAGTTCTCTCCTCCACGCGGGGTTCATCCCCTAAAAGGCGCTTTTCGGCAGCCGTGTCTCTCGGGGAGCTGAGACTCCCGCTCTGGGCTCAGTCTCTCCATCTGCAGAATGGAGCAGCCCCTCCTGCGGCTCCTCCCACACTGTTGCTGGGGGGGGGGGGGAAGGGACCGGTTCTCCCTCCCTGCTGGTTTCCCTCCCTTTGCTGGGGAAGCCAGACATCTGCTGATCCATGAATATTCAGGAAGATTGGCAAGGGAGCCTCCTCCGGCTGCCTGGAGCCCAGGCTGCTGACAAACCCAGCAGCTGCCCGGGGCCCCAACTGTTCGCATTGTTTGTTCAGCAGGGGATTTTCCAGACCCGGGATGTGCTGAGGGGGGCGGGGAGGCCGCTGGAGGGCCAGGGATTCATGTCCTGTGGGGCTCTTCTCCCCTGAAACCCAAACCGACTGCTCAGCGGCTGGAACGGGGCACTTGGGAGCCGCTGGGCTGGGCACCGGGCCTCGCCTTCCCCTTGCCCTGTGTGTGTGTGTGTGTGTGTGTGTGTGTGTGTGTAGCGGGGACGGAGGGAATGGCAGAACCTATTAGGCTATTAGTGTCTGCACAGCTTACAAGGCGCTTTTAAAGGGTGCACGCCCATTCCTGAACCTAGAATTCCTGTTTCCACAACACACAGGCCTAGGTGTGTAGTCTTCCTGGTGTACCTGTGGGAACTGAGGCCCGGAGAGGTTAGGTGGCCCCTCCCACAGCCCGGCCAGTGGAACCTTGCTCCAAGGCCACATGCTCTTTCCATCCCATCCCCACCACGTCACTGTGGAAACCCAGTGTGGGCAGGGGCTGCTGCTCCCCTACCCCGCAGTGGACCCCAAGGTGTCCAGTGGAGCCTGTCTGATGGATTGAAGAAGGCAGCGGCCCAGATCAGCTCCTGTCTGTCAGTCTGTTGTCTCTGCACCCCCTCCTGCCCACTTCTTCTCTTCCCCCAGGCTTGTTCTTCCAAAGTGGTGGGAAGAGAACCTGAGGCTGGGCGGGGGTTCCAGGCGCCATCCAGCGAGCCTGGCAGGTGTGTGTGTCTAGCCTGGTGTCTGCCAGTTTTGTGAGTGCGTCTGAGATGGTGTTGTGTTTGTTCTGGAATGTGTGTACGTGCCGATGAATAATCAATCGTAGAATCCTGGAGGTCGCCTGCCACGTCCTGGTGAGCCCAGGACCACGGGACCGACACCCGACAAGCCGTGACCTACGACAATGGCTTCCAGCCGCTCCACTTCCCGCCCGGCTCCCCAGTCATGAACCTGGGAAGGCAGGAGAAGATGGCCCAAGCGCTTGTGGAGTTTCTGACCCCTGGCTTTGGTTTGACTGAGCCTGGATTGTTGCGGCCATTTGGGGAGTGAACCAGCGAATGGGAGATTTCACTCTGTCCTCTCTCTCTTGCTCTGCCTTTAGAATAAATAAATACATTTCTTTAAAGAAGGGGACATAACTGGCCCAAAGCTACCCGGCTGGACTGTGCTGGAGGTGAGGCTACCACCGGGGGTCCCCTGACGCCCCAGCCACTGTGCTTTGTGCAGGCCCCCTGGGACTCTGTCCACCCAGACCTGCCTCGTGACAAGTCTGGACCATTGACTTGGCCTCTGTTACTGGTTTACGCTCAGAGACGCCATTCTACCGTGAAGGGAGGCATCAGCCAGAGGCCAAGAAGGGACCTTGGGCCCCGGAGCACAGCAGGGCAGGCAGGCAGCAGGTCAGCCCTCTGTGAGCCTCCCAGGGAGGGCGAGCCCTTTCTCTATGGCTGATGGCTCTCGGAATGAACACAGCCTTGTGTGTGTGCACCAGACCCTGGGCTGGCGAGGCCACCTTCCATTGTTCCCCTTCCTTCCCCATGCTGCCAGGCCAGCACTGGGGCCTGTAGGCTCTTCTGGGGGTCAGGAGCCCTACCTGTGTGGCCTTGGGGAGATCAGTCAGGTCGGCGTGCTCAGTGTCCCCCTGGGGCCTGCGGCGAGCCAGGCGAGACTCCTCTTGGACTCCCTCGCAGTTCTGCCTGAGCCCAGCCCCTCCCTGCCTGGGCACGGAGGCTTTCCCATCTCCCCGCAGGATCTGCCCCCTTGCCCTTGGGAAGAGGTGGGCAAGTCCGTTTCCTTCCACCCAGGTGGCTCCACTGGGACCTTTTTTTTTTCTTTTTAAGAATTATGGACCGGCGCCGCGGCTCAATAGGCTAATCCTCCGCCTTGCGGCGCCGGCACACCGGGTTCTAGTCCTGGTCAGGGCGCCGGATTCTGTCCCAGTTGCCCCTCTTCCAGGCCAGCTCTCTGCTATGGCCCGGGAGTGCAGTGGAGGATGGCCCAAGTCCTTGGGCCCTGCACCCCATGGGAGACCAGGAGAAGCACCTGGCTCCTGCCTTCGGATCAGCACGGTGTGCCGGCCGCAGCGCGCCGGCCGCGGCGGCCATTGGAGGGTGAACCAACGGCAAAAGGAAGACCTTTCTCTCTGTCTCTCTGTCTCTCTCTGTCCACTCTGTCAAAAATAAATTAAAAAAAATTATTCATTAATTTCAAAGGCAGAGTGACAGAGAAGAGTCTTCCCTCCGCTGGTTTACCCTCCAAATGCCTGCAACAGGCAGGGCTGGGCCAGGATGAAACCAGGAGCCAAGAACTGCATCCGGGTCTCTCACATGGGTGGCAGGGACCCAAGTCCTTGGGCCATCATTGCTGCCTCCCACGCACATTAGCAGGAAGGTGTCTGGGAAGCATGGAGTAGCCAGGACTCAAAGCAGACACTCTGGTATGGGATGTGGGTATCCTAGTGTTATCCTAGTTTGTCTTCGCACAGGAAAGAATTCAGGCGTGAGACAGAGAGTAGTGGAAAGCAAAATAGCAAGGTTTATTAGGGTAGGGACATCCGTAAGAACGGATGGGCACCTCTCTAGACAGAACCTGAGAGAGAGCCCAGTGGCTCAGACTGGGGGAGAGCAGGGTTACATGGTTGAGTGGAGAGAGTACACCTGGCCAGGCCAGGCCAGGCGGGCGGCTCAGCAGAGAGGCAGAGGGCTGAGCGCCCAGTCTGGTTGAGGCCAGGGGTTTTTAAGGGGATGGATCTTGTCTTCCCACCTCTTCTCCTCCTGGAACAAAGGACTTTTTGGGTGTAAATACTAAAAATTCCTTTCTGAGTTTTCCCCCTGAAGTTATCAGACAGGAGGAAGCCTGGCTGGTGTCTCCCGGTTAGAGGAAGGATGAGCAGGACCCCTGGAAGATAGGATCTGGGGCAGGATGTTTGAAGTGCAGAGACTGGGCTGCACCTGGAAGGTTTTGGGATGACTTTGAGATGCAGATGCTGGACCTAGATGTCAATTCCTTAGGCCTTTGTCGCACACACATAAGCTCATTTCTGACTTCCTACCTAACACTAGGAGGTGACTTAAGCTGCTGCACCACAGTGCACGCCCCGGGACCTAGTTTGTCTTGTTTATTCAAGATACATATGTATTCGCAGACACACTTAACACACAGGCGCTTTCTCATGCCCATGAGACACGTCATATGTTCCCTGGCCACAGTACCTTTCTAACCTATGGTTCATTTTCAGCTGGGGGAGGGTGGGTGAGCCACCCTGTGAGGTTCCAGGGCGTGGAGCCCCATCCCGTGCCAGAAACTGTGCTATACCCTTTCCTTGCGTGTCAGCTTAATGCTTACAACAGCTTTGTGAGGAAGGAGCGACTGGGCCTTTTTTTAAAAAAACTAAGATACCTGCCGGCGCCGCGGCTCAATAGGCTAATCCTCCACCTTGCGGCGCCAGCCCACCGGGTTCTAGTCCCAGTCGGGGTGCCGGATTCTGTCCCGGTTGCCCCTCTTCCAGGCCAGCTCTCTGCTGTGGCCCGGGAGTGCAGTGGAGGATGGCCCAAGTGCTTGGGCCCTGCACCCCATGGGAGACCAGGAGAAGCACCTGGCTCCTGCCATCAGATCAGCGCGGTGCGCCGGCCGCGGTGCGCTGGCCGCAGCGTGCCGGCCGCGGTGGCCATTGGAGGGTAAACCAACGGCAAAAGGAAGACCTTTCTGTCTCTCTCTCTCTCACTGTCCACTCTGCCTGTCAAAAAACAAACAAACAAACAAAAAACCTAAGATACGATACAGAGTTACAGAGAGAGAGAAAGACAGATACATAGGTCTTCCATTCGCTGGTTCACTCCCCAAATGGCCGCAACAGCCGGCACTGGGCCAGGCCAAAACCAGGAGCCAGGAGCTTTCTCCAGGTCTCCCATGTAGGTGCAGGCACCCGCAGACTTGGGCCATCCTCCACTGCTTTCCCAGGTGCATTAGCAGGGAGCTGGATAAGAAGTGGAGCAGCCGGAACTGGAACTGGCTCCCGTAAGGGATGCTGGTGTCACAGGCTGCGGCTTAACTCACTGCACCACAACGCTGCCCTCTACTCTCTGTCTTGATGGATTTGCCCGTCCTGGACATTTCACAGAAATGAGATCATGCAGTATGTGGCATTTTGTGACTGCCTCTCGCTTGGTGTAAGGTTTTCAAGGCTCAACCACACTGGGGCGTGTGTGCGTACTTCATTCCTCGTAATAGATTCACCCGCTCAGCAACCCTGGGGCTGGTTCCCCTTTGTGGCTCTTTGAATGATGGTGCCATAACCAGGTCTCTCTGTGGCTGGGAGAACTGAGCAGCAGAGAAAGATGGGCACAGAGAGGTGCAGCCGTTTGCCCAAGGTCACAGTCAGGGGAGAGCCAGGATGCAGACATGGGTCTTCCCGTTTGACCTTTTTGTGGCTGGCCCTGGCTTCAGAATGGGTGACTCTTGGGAGCAGAGGCCGAGGGAGGTGGGAGGGGACATACGCTGCTGATCCCATGCCTCCTTCTCTACGCAGGAGAGCTGCCATTGCCCCAGGAGACGACCGTGCAGCTGAGCTGTGACGCGGGGCCGCTGCAAGTGATCCTGGGCCCAGAGCAGGCTGCTGTGCTGAACTGTAGCCTGGGGGCTGCTGCTGCTGGGCCCCCGACCAGCGTGACATGGAGCAAGGACGGGGAAGCCCTGCCGGAGCACGACCACCTGCACCTGCTGCCCAGTGGCTCCCTCCGGCTGTCCCAGCCACTAGCCCCTGATGGCAGTGGTGAGGCAGCCCCCGGGGCCGTGGGAGCCATCGAGGGCAGCTACTCCTGCCTGGCCCACGGTCCCCTCGGAGTGGTGGCCAGCCAGGCTGCTGTGGTCAGGCTTGCCAGTGAGTGCCTGCATCGTCCCGCTTCTCCACGGCCCTGCCCCTCCTGCTTTCCTGCCCTATGAGCTGTAGAGTCTGGGGTTGTGCCCTCCCCCAGGAAGCCTGCCAGGAAGGCTCGTAAGGGCGTCAGGGCCGCAAAGGCGCCTCCCAGGGAGCTTCCACCACGGAACAGGTGCAGTGCACGGAGTCCAGGCCGGTTGCCCAGCCCAGTTCAGGAGTACAAGTTGCCGTGACATGATTTTTGGGCCTCTGACTGCATTCTGACCACCGCGGAGCTGGTGGGCAGGGGGCGCTGGGCTCCGTGCTGCCGGTGGCATCTGACCAGTGGGTGCTGCTTCTCACCCCCGGCTGCCTCTCCCTTGGTCTGAATTTGCTGTGCTCCACATGTCTGTGTGTCCCTGTGTCCGTGTGTGTGTGTGTGTGTGTGGGTGGGTGGCTTCACTCTCACTGTCCTTGTCCTCTAGCACTTGCGGACTTCTCCCTGCACCCGGAGTCGCAGGTGGTGGAGGAGAACGGGACCGCCCGCTTTGAGTGCCACACCCAGGGGCTGCCGGCTCCCGTCATTACCTGGGAGAAGGACCAGGTGACGCTGCCTGAGGAGCCTCGGTGAGTGCCTCCCCCTGGAGGAGTGGGGTCCCAGTGGGCGAAGAAGGCCCCGGGTGCTGGGGTGGGGTGGCCTCGTCTGCCTATCCTGACTTAAGAGCCAGCCAGTGCATCTCTGTCCCAAACAGAAGCTGGAGGAGAAGTGTTTGCGCCCTGGGAGGAAAGCCTGGGCTGGGGGTAGTGGTGGAGCCCCCCTCCTACCCCCCCCCCCAGCCAGCCCAGTCACCTCCTTCTGGCTGAGGGCCAGAGAGGAGTGTGGGTTCTCCAAGGCCCCACAGACAGCGACCGGAAGTGTTGGTTGTGCGCTCAGGGCTCTGAGCTGTTCAAAGGGTTGTCTCTTGTCTGCAGAGTTTCTACCCTGGTGGGGTGGGAGGGGGCAACCATTTGATGAGCGGGGTGGTTTTGAGGTCCTTGCTGCTTCACACTCCCCTCTCCAATGGCCGGGGTCGGTGTGGGCAGGGGGCACAGTTCAGGGAGGAGCCGCTGAGGTTAGACCGGGACTGGATCCCTGCTGTGGCTCCTGGGAGGTCAGGGGCCCTTCCCTTCCGCGTTGGGCTCCTGCCTTGGTTGTGGCGTAGTTAACCAGCTGGCTGTGTCAGCCCCTCTCCCGGGTGGAAGTGTGGTTCCTGGGGCTCTGAAACCCGGAGCCCCCTCCCCAGAGCTGACCCCTGCTGATTGCGCTGCATTGCCTCAGGTGTGAGAAGGATGGGAGGTACAGGAGAGAAGATGCTGGGTAGAGAAGCCTGGGGGAGGGGGCGCCATGAGGGAAGAAGAAGGGGGAGGGGTGTATCAGAGACCCTGCTGACATGGGGGGATGGGTCGGTGACTGTCACTTCTTTTTACCCAACCTTGGGCTTCCCACCTGCAAAATGGAAGGAAGAGAAAGGGCAGGATTAGATGCTAGTTTCCCAAAGAGTGGTCTTGGTAGAATATTACTTTCTTAAAATGCTGCTGCTGCTTTAAGAAAGATTTATTTTTTTGCAATGATTTATTTTATTTATTTGAAAGACAGAGTTACAGAGAGAGGGAGAGACAGAGAAAGAGAGGTCTTGTATCTGCTGGTTCACTCCCCAGATGGCTGCAGTGGCTGGAGCTAGCTGATCTGAAGCCAGGAGCCAGGAGCTTCTTCCTGGTCTCCCACGTGGGTGTAGGGGCCCCAGCACTTGGGCCATCTTCTACTGCTTTCCCAGGCCATAGCAGAGAGCTGGATAGGAAGAGGAGCAACCAGGACTCAAACCAGCGCCCATTGGGATGCTGGAGCTTCAGACCAGGGCTTTAACCTGCTGCACCATAGCGCCGTCCCCATTAAGAAAGATTTATTTATTTTGTTTGAAAGGCCGAGTTACAGCGAAAGACGGGGAAAGGGGCCGGTGCGGCACCGGCAGCCCATATGGGCGCCGGTTTGAGTCCCACTTCTGATCCAGCTCCCTGCTAATGCTCCTGGGAAAGCAGAGGAGGATGGCCCAAGTGTTTAGGCCCCTACACCCACATAGGAGACCCAGAAGAAGCTCCTGTCTCCTGGTTTTGGCCACGCCAAAACCAGGAGCCTAGTACTCCATCTGGGTCTCCCATGTGGGTGGTAAGGGGCCCAACCACTTGTGCCATCTTCTGCTGCTTTCCCAGGAGCATTAGCAGGGAGCTGGATGGGAAGCAGAGCAGCCGAGACTCGAACATGGGCTCTGATATGGGTGATGTTGCAAGCAGCAGTGTAACCCACTGGCGCCACTATGCTGGCGTCTAGAAATCTTCTACTTAGCAGATTGTAAATACTTGATGTTTGGTTCAGTTATTTTTTATTCAAAACAAAAATGAGATCATATTACAGCTTTAATTTTGTTTTCACTTAACACCTAGTGAACACCCTTCCAGGTCTCTGCGTGTGGTCGTGCTGGATATCATTATCTGGGCTGAGAGGCAGAGATGGGAGTCACGTGCCCCAGGTCACACAGTTGGTCCCCAGAGTGTGGGACGCTGGTGCTCTGGTGTGGATGGCACATAGGCTGAGGAGTGGCTTGGTGGCGGGGTGGGGGCTGCGGGTGGGGTGAGAGACCTCTGGTCCCACTGTGGCTGTGAGCAGAGCAGTCACTGCCCTCCGCGTGTTCTCAGCAAGCAGTGGGGTTCAGACCTCCCCTCCCAGCCTCTAGTTCAGTCTTTTGAAGCCACAGTCCTCTTCCAAGGAGGCCCGGGCTGCCAGTGCCTGGGCTCTGGGAGTGTTTACCCCCAAGTCCTCTGAAAAGTGATCCCCATCTATAAATAAGCAGCTCACATGTCCCAGCACATTGTGTGGGGGGAAGAAAGAATCGGCTAAAACAGCGACTTGGTTATGCCCAAGGTATGTATTTTTACCCACACCCAGATACAGTGCGTGCACAAATGTGCTATTCAGAAACTCAGCCCGGGGCTTGGAGGAGGCTGCACACATGTGCACTTAATAAACACGTTCTGTTGGGACGCAAGTGCACGTTTTTTGGAGCTGACGGTGAGACCCCCAGGCAGTTCTGGGATACTTCCGCTGCTGTGCAGTAATCCCGGGGCGAGCGCTCCTTCCGTGGCATCCACTAATCAACGGTTCCCAAACGCCAGGCACCCACCAGCACCTTCCTGGTTGCGGCCATCCTTACAGCATTGACACCATCATCGCTCATTCCCTTCCTTTACGTCAACTTGCTCTTTTGTAACTCCGCCGCATATCAAAAGAACCAATCAAAAGAGCCAGCGCCGCGGCTCACTAGGCTAATCCTCCGCCTTGCGGCGCCAGCACACCGGGTTCTAGTCCCGGTTGGGGCGCCGGATTCTGTCCCGGTTGCCCCTCTTCCAGGCCAGCCCTCTGCTGTGGTCAGGGAGTGCAGTGGAGGATGGCCCAGGTGCTTGGGCCCTGCACCCCATGGGAGACCAGGAAAAGCACCTGGCTCCTGGCTCCTGCCCATCAGATCAGCGCGGTGCGCCGGCCGCAGCGCGCCAGCCGCGGCGGCCATTGGAGGGTGAACCAACGGCAAAAGGAAGACCTTTCTCTCTGTCTCTCTCTCTCACTGTCCACTCTGCCTGTCAAAAAAATAAAATAAAAAAATAAATAAAAAATAAAAGAACATCATCAATAAAATGGAAGTATTCTACACTATAAATAAAACCAGCAACACGTGCCAAAAATAGAAGGTGGTTAAAAATAAACAGGCAACCACTGGATTAAAAAATGTGTGTCCAGATCCCTTGAAATAGTTTTGTTGCCATCATTCAGTCACATCCCAAGCATCGAGGCGCTAATGGACTTACATACCCCGGGCTCCCTGGTCCTGTCTGCCCTGCCCTCCCCACGTCCAGCGTTTCTGTCCTCCTCGGGGAACCCCCGGCTGCTGTTCCTTTCCCTTGGGTGGATCTCACCAGGGCACGGAGGGGGCTCCTTGGCCGTTGGGACAGTCACAGCAGCTGTGCCGTTTCTCACGTGTTCTTGAACACAAGTGGCCTTTGGGGCTGGGCGCAGCCAACTCAGGCTTGGGCTTGCATAGAGAATAATCTCTCCCTTTGGAGTGGAGGTGGTTTCATCCCATACATAGCGATCTCATTTTGTTTGATGTGTGAATTTATTGTAAATTGATCAAACATATCGACATTATAAAAAGGGGGTGGGGGAGTCACCTACCGGCTGAACACAGCTATTGCCATTGTGAGTGTTCCCTTGCAATCTTTGTAAACAGAAGCCTAGCACCTGCAAGTCAGACAGCTTATGTCTGTCATCCAATGGGAGAAGGTCAGGGTTATGAAATAGGCAGGACAGGAACTAAACCCATTTTTCAGATAAGAAAACTGTGGCTCAGATCCGCAGTGTCACTTGCCAGAACCAGGCACGTTGGAACCAGGCCTCTCCACCGTGCCACAGTTGCTTGTCTGGGAGAGCCTGGAATTACAAAACAAAGTATGCAGAACACATGCTTTACAAAATTTAAATTTAAAACATTTTTATATTTCCAAACTAATACATATTCATTGTTTTAAAAAAATCTTTTAAAACACAACAAATAGCAGTTTCCAGCCATCTCAATCCCATTTAAAAAAACAACCGTGAACTATGCCAGCTTTGCCTTCCTTGACTTTCTCCATGCATACCCTAACCTATCAATTATCTATTTTCTAAAATTAGAATTGCTTCGTAAACACCCCCCTCAACCGCCAACCCCCTCAATCCACTAACCAGTATATCTTGGGCGTCTTTCCCAAGACAGAACTCCTAAAAATGCAGTTTAACAGAACTGAAAAGATTTTTTTAATGTATTATTTCTTTTCATCTACTTGAAAAGCAAAGCAACAAAGAGAAAGCAAGAAAAATCAAGAGAAATCTTCCATCTGCTGGCTGACTCCCCAAATGCCTACAACAGCCAGGGCCAGGCCAGATCAAAGCCAGGAGCCAGGAGCGGGGCGCTCCATCCAGTCTCCCACGTGGGTGCAGGGGCCCAAGCACTCGGGTCCTCATCTGCTGCCTCCCGGGATGCGCGTGGGCAGGAAACCGGGCTGGAATCGGAGGTTGTACTTGCTCCCAGGCACTCTGAGGTGGTGCACGGGCGTCCCAAGGGGCAGTGTAACCACTGTGCCACAGCGCTCACCCCAGGAAAGATTTCAGATGAACATGATAAGTGGTTCCACTTCACCTGTAGCACCAGGGCTGGGGAGAGGCATTCCTTCCCTCCTCCTTGTGTTCATCCACCCAACAGTCATGACTGAGGAACTGTAGTTGGTCAGAAGAGGCGCTTAGAGCAAGATTTCCCTGGGAAACAGGGTTGGAAGTGAGGGCAGCTCCTGGCCATGTAGTGAGCTGAGCTGGACAAGGCAGGAGCGGGAAGAGGGAGGAGGAGAAGCCAGACATGGTGGGCCTGGATGCCGTGTGTGTGTGGGGGTGGGTGGGGGTCCTGTTTGTCTGTTCCCACCCATTGCATAGCAGCAGGTGGGGCCCTGGCCCAGGATTTTCCCTGTAGCTGCCTCTTGCCTCCCTCCCCACCCCTCCTCCCCACCTCCTGCCCTCTGCGGGTGAGTCTGGGCAGAGGTGAGCTTGCCTAGGGATGAAGGCTGAGGCAGCTTTATGATTTCTAGGTCTTTGTGTCCAGATTCTCCCAACCTCAAGCTGCTCCTCTCCCATGGTTCCGTTTGCTCAGCCTCTGCTCGAGCCCCCCACAACTAAGGGTTCCCTCCTCTTCCCTCTGCCCCTGCCTGACTGCATCCCAGGAGCGAGCGCCATTTGCTCTGTTGAGAAATGGACTCTGCACGTGGAGCTGGCCTTGTAAGGATCCCGCTGGAGGACCCCCTGCCTGGCTGGTGCCCACTGTGCTCCCCCCATACCCACCTCCCCTCCATGGAGACTCCTGCTCTGAATCATGTTGTGTCTCCAGCAAGGTCTCCAGGCTTTTTTTTTTTTTTTTTTTTTTTTGACAGGCAGAGTGGACAGTGAGAGAGAGAGAGACAGAGAGAAAGGTCTTCCTTTGCCGTTGGTTCACCCTCCAATGGCCGCCGCGGCCGGTGCGCTGCGGCCGGCGCACCGCGCTGATCCGATGGCAGGAGCCAGGAGCCAGGTGCTTTTCCTGGTCTCCCATGGGGTGCAGGGCCCAAGCACCTGGGCCATCCTCCACTGCACTCCCTGGCCACAGCAGAGAGCTGGCCTGGAAGAGGGGCAACCGGGACAGAATCCGGCGCCCCAACCGGGACTAGAACCCGGTGTGCCGGCGCCGCTAGGTGGAAGATCAGCCTAGTGAGCCGCGGTACTGGCTCAGGCCTTTTTTTTTTTTTTTTTTAATGTATTTATTTCTTTGAAAGAGAGAGAGAGAGAGAGAGAGAGAGAGAGAGGTCTTCCATCCTCTGGTTCACTCCCCAATTGGCCACAACAGCTGGAGCTCCGCCGATCCAGAGCCAGAGCCAGGAGCTTCTTCCGGGTCTCCCACATGGGTGCAGGGGCCCAAGGACTTGGGCCATCTTCTACTTCTTTCTCAGGCCATAGCAGAGAGCTGGATTAGAAGTGGAGCAGCCAGGACTCGAACCGCTGCCCATATGGGATGCTGGCACTGCAGGTGGCAGCTTTACCTGCTATGCCACAGCGCCAGCTGCTCTAGGCCTTTCTAACCCCCTGCTCCACTGGGCCCTCCAGTCAGCGTCTGTGGTGGTGGATCCTGCCACAGGGAGGCAGGAGACGTGAATGTGGCATCTGGCACCGGAAGTCCTTGGCTCAAGTTTTAACTTTGCCCCCGCTACTGGAACCTCAGACAACACCCTCCTTCCAAGTCTCAGTTTGATTTTGTGTGTGTGTGTGTGTTTTGTTTGTTTGTTTGTTTTAAGATTTTTTTTTTAAGATGTATATATTTGAAAAGCATTTACAAAGCAAGGGAGAGAGAGTTTCTTCCGCTGGTTCGACCTCCAAATGACCGCAACAACCAGGGCTGGGCCAGGCCAAAGCCAGAAGCCTGGAATTCCATCTGGGTCTCCCACATGGGTGGAGGGGCCCAGGCACTTGGGCCATCGTCCGCTGCTTTCCCAGGAGCATTAGCAGGCAGCTGGATGGGAAGCAGAGCAGCTGGGACTTGAACCGGTGCTGTCTAGGATGCCAGCATTGTGGCTGGCAGCTTAACTCACTGCACCACAGTGCCATCCCCAAGCTTCAGTTTTGTCACCAAAGGAATGGAGGCTGTGATCCCTTCTTGGGCTTATTTTGCAGGTCAGATGTGTTGATGTAAATAAAGGGCTTTTTAGAGGAAGGAGAAAGTCAGGTGGTTGAAAAAAAAAATCAAATTGTGGGGCTGGCGCGGTGGCTCACTTGACTAATCCTCCACCTGCGGTGCTGGCATCTCATATGGGTGCCAGGTTCTAGTCCTGGCTGCTCCTCTTCCAGTCCAGCTCTCTGCTGTGGCCCGGGAGGGTAGTGGAGGATGGCCCAAGTCCTTGGGCCCTGCACCTGCATGGGAGACCAGGAGGAAGCACCTGGCTCCTGGCTTCATTCAGATTGGCGTAACTCCAGCCACAGTGGCCATTTGGGGGGTGAACCAACGGAAGGAAGACCTTTCTATCTCTCACTGTCTAACTCTGTCAAATAAAAAAAAATCAAATTGTCCGGATGGCTGCATAATAAGAAGGAAGCAGGGCCATCAGTGCCCGGGCGAGCCCTGGGCAGACATGCCCCCACGTGTTTGCGACCACTCTGTCGGTGTAAAGGAACTCCTCTTTTTTAACAGCCACCAAGGGTTCCACTGTGAGGAGGACCCACCCCGATTGGACCAGTCCCCGGCTACAGATAGTTGAATGGTCTTCTTGCGAGCACCCACGGTACCCCAGTGATTATCCCATGACCCTCATTCCGTGGGGTCGAGTGCTAGAGGCGGCATTGCTGGGGTACAAGGGCTGGGCAGCTCTGACGTGGGGACGTCGCCAGCTTTCCCGGGAAACAGGGTCCGTGGGCACGGCCGCCGGCCAGCCGGCAGCACCCAAGCCCCCGGTGGTCCGTGCCCCCATCCACATGGGTGTGGATGGAGGTGGAGAAGGTGTCTGGCGGCCAGTGCAGCCCTGCGCCTCACACTGCCCTCTCCCCTCCCCAGGCTCATCACTCTGCCCAACGGCGTCCTGCAGATCCTGGACGTTCAGCGCAGTGACACCGGCTCCTACCGCTGTGTGGCCACCAACGTGGCCCGCCGCCGCCTCAGCCAGGAGGCCCTGCTCAGCGTCGTCCCCAGAGGTAAGGGGGCTGGCTGGGGGGAGCGGGGGCAGGACCCTGGGGAGCTTCTGGAGTCAGCCACCTCTGAGCCAGAAGGGGCCGCAAGAGGTCCAGGCCTTGCCTTCACATAGGCGACAGGACTGCCAGTCCCCTCGGGCGGGCGGGCAAAGCAGTGCAGGGAGGGCAGCGCCACCCAGCGAAACGGGGACAGAACTACACCAGCAGCCAGGGCCCCCCACAGCCAGGGCAGAGCTGCTCCGGCTGGATGTGACCCCGTGGCTTAGATGGGGACAGGGTAGGGAGGTGAGGTATCCAAGGAGGGTGTCTGTGCTCGGAAGCCCTGGTCCCTGCCCCTGCCCCGCTGTGTGCCCTGAAGACTTCTTGCTGTGCAAGGTGCATCCGCCCCTCCCACCTCACCCCCCAGGCCTGGGCTCTGTCCTTTCCTCTTTCTTTGAAAAGCTCCTGCCCCCCGTGTGACAAGAGTAGGAAGGGCACAGGCTTTGGGTCAGAAAGACCTGGTTTGAATCCTTCTTCTCTGCTCGCCACCTGCGTGACCCTGGGCTTGTTCTCAAATGTCCAGCCCAGAGAGGTCACAGCAGCTGCAAACAGAAGAGAAAGCGCCGTGCACCACAGGTGCTCAGCTGATCTCACTCCGGGCCTCCCCCTCGGCCCCTGGCTTGTCCCTCTCTGCCCGACCTCCCTCCCACCTCCTGTCCCCTCACTCCCACTCCAGCCCTTGGATGATGAGCCGCCCTCCAGGGCTGAGCTGGTCGTGGGGGGTGGGGGGTGGGGGGTGGGGTGGGGGTGCTGTGTGCTCCCTTCTGTGCCTGGAGTCTCTGCCTCCACCTGCTGGTCTAACCGGGTATTTGTTCTATGCAGCTGGCCAGGCGCGCATGCTGATTCTGGCAGGGAATCAGGGCTGGGGGAGCAGCCGCGCTGGCAGAAACTGCAGCCCACCCCCTGCCTTTTCCACGTGGGAGCCCAAGGGCTTTGGGGGAGGGATTTGCCTGCGGTCACACAGTGTGCTAATGGCAACTGCTGGAACTGCAAACCGACTGGTGACTCCAAGTCCACTGCTCCACCCATGACCCTGGCCGTCCTCTGCGCAGAGGCTGGACTGGACTTGGGAGGGAAGAGTGGGGCAGGTGTGGGTCTGTCCAGTGACTTCGCTGGTGCCCAGTTGGGGGCCAGGCTTTCGTATGGCTCCAAGAGAAAGCGCTGTGAGTTCCAGCCCGGCTCGGCTGGACCTTGTGGCTGTCAGACGGAACCCTGGCTGCTTCTGGTCCCACCTGCCTCACCGGGGGAGGTGTTGCCTTGGTGAAGACGCCTGCTGGTGAGGCTACCTGCTGGCCTGGCTTCTCTCTAGGGTCCCTGGCATCCACTAGGGGGCAGGATGTGGTCATTGTGGCAGCGCCGGAGAATACCACCGTGGTGTCTGGCCAGAGCGTGGTGATGGAATGTGTGGCCTCAGCTGACCCCACCCCTTTTGTGTCCTGGGTCCGACAAGGTGAGTGGAGAGGGAGGGACAAGAGGGGACTCGGGGGGGGGGGGACAGGGGGAGGAAGGGTGTGGCGTCTCACATACCCTCAAACCAGAGAGCTGCGTGGGCAACCACTCAGGGTCCCAACCCTCCGTGTAGTGGGAGCTCCTCTCCCAGACTGGATGTCACAAGTGCCAAGGTTGATGGCTTCGTGGGGAGCCTGTCGGGCTTGATCAGCAATCTGTGTATCCGTGTCCCCTCCAGCACCCTCGGGGTCTGCCACCTGCCAGTTGGCACCGAAGCCCTGTTGAGGGTGGGCCCTGGGCTACCTTCTCCACTTGGCTTATTCCAGTTTCTCTCAACAGTGTTACAAGGGAGGGTGTGAGAGCTGGGAGGTGCCCCAAACTGGGCGTTCTTTACGCCTGCTCCCTGGCTCCTGTCGCCTGCACTGCTTCCCCTCTCACCTTCAGAGGGGTGTATGATTATATGGCGGTTAAAGGAAAGGAATGAAGTGAAAGACTGCATACCCAGCGCAGCGCTGACGGGCCAGAACAGTGCTGGTATCTTTGTGTTTATCCAGCCTACACCGCCTCCCTGGGCTCATGACACCTGCCTGGGTAGAGAGCCCCTGGGCCAGCAGAGCCCTCGTTCTATTTCTGGGGTCAGCCTGTGATGTCACCCAGGAATCCTCACAGCAGTATTTCTCAAGTGCTGGCCACGCCTCAGGAGCAGCCTAGGAGACTGTTCACGCCACGGACTCCCCCGCCCCCCAGCTGGCTGTGATCCGGGACTCTGAATGCTTAACCAGCGCCCTGGGTCCTAGCTACTCAAACCCTGCTTGTTGGGTCACCACCTGGAGTGAATTAGAAAGGCAGAATCTGGGGGCCTTGCCCTGGGCCTCTGCACCGTGACAGGGTCCCCTGCCATTCCCTGAGGCGTGTGCGGTGAGGGGTGGAGGATTGCTGCCCCAGAGCATGCTGGTCCCTGCGGTTCTGGGTGCTCACTCGGAGCACCTACCTTTGGAGAGAGACCAGGCAGAGAGGGCCTGGAGAGGCAACTCATTCCTGACCTCAGTGCTGCTCCCTTTCCAGGGACTTACTCCACCAAATCGGGGAAGGGCCATGGGTGTTTTGTTCTGTAGTCGCAAATGTTGCACGTGTTCATGTAGAGAACCAGGGGAAAAAAACAAGCAGAAGACATATCGCCACTCAGAGACAAGACTGACAGCACAGGGAGAGGGCGTTGGGCACAGCAGTAAGACACTGCTTGGGGCTCCAGCATCCCGGATCAGAGCGCTTGTGTCCCAGTCCTGCTGCTTCCAATTCCAGCTCTTGCTAATGGCCGGGGAAAGCAGCAGGAAGGTAGCCCAAGTGATAGGGCTCCTGCACCTACATGGGGCCTGGAAGAAGCTCTTGGCTGCTGGCTTTGGCCCTGTCCTGGCCTGTGTGGCCATCTGGGGAGTAAACTGGCAGATGGAAGGTCTCTCTCTCTCAATCTCTCTCTCTCTCTTAACTCTTTCAAGTAGATAAATACATCTTTTAAAAATGTTTTTAAAATTGTTAATATACTGCATTTTTGAAAGTTTTTATGTACACGTGTACATTTCCTCCTAAAATTGGGGAAACGTGTTGTATTTACATTTCCAAGATCCAATTTCATTCAATAAAACTTTCCTTTCCCCATCTCAAACTTTTTCCAAGAATATTTTAATGACTATGTAATATTCCATCTTTTGAATGTAGTTCATTAGTTCTATTGAATTTTTAAAAGGTGTTTTTATTTATTTAAAAGGCAGGGGCCGGCGCCGCGGCTCACTAGGCTAATCCTCTGCCTTGCGGCGCCGGCACACCAGGTTCTAGTCCCGGTCGGGGCGCCAGATTCTGTCCCAGTTGCCCCTCTTCCAGGCCAGCTCTCTGCTGTGGCCCGAGAGTGCAGTGGAGGATGGCCCAAGTGCTTGGGCCCTGCACCCCATGGGAGACCAGGGGAAGCACCTGGCTCCTGTTTTCGGATCAGCGCGGTGCGCCGACCGCAGTGCGCCAGCTGCGGCGGCCATTGGAGGGTGAACCAATGGCAAAGGAAGACCTTTCTCTCTGTCTCTCTCTCACTGTCCACTCTGCCTGTCAAAAAAAAAAAAAAAAAAAAAAAGGCAGGGATAGAAGATGAGTTACAGAAAGAGAGAGGGGTGGGGAGAGGGATCATCTGTTCATTGGTTCATTCCCCAAATGCCTGCAACAGCCAGGGATAGGCTAGGCTGAAGCCAGGAGCCCTGAACTCCATCCGGGTCTGCCACATGGGTGGCAGGGGCCCGAGTAGTTGGGCCATCACCTGTTGCCTTCCAGACTCGTCAGCAGGGGCTGGATTCCAGACACTCAGGTGTGGGATGCAGCCACCCCAAGAAGAGACTGTGGCACAGCACCTGTCCCAGCTGGTGTAGTTGGGTGTGAATTTCTTGGATTTTTGTTTGTTTCTTGACCATCTGGCCCTTTATCCCCGTCTTCAGGCAAGAGGTTTTCAAATGGTTTTCTTTTCACATTAAGACATAAGCCTGTGCACGTGCAGCACTCCTGCTGGAGTGGGGTTCCCCAGGCCTTGCCATCCCCAGCAGCCCCTCCGCGTTCGCACGTGGAGAGAGGGCCTGTCGTGTCCCCCTTTCCGGGGGGCGGGGAGAGGGTTCCAGGGGCCAGCGAGGGGCGGCCGCGGCCCCCCGCTATCCCCCGCGGCGCGTCTCCCTCGCCCCGCAGACGGGAAGCCCATCTCCACGGATGTCGTCGTCCTTGGCCGCACCAACCTGCTCATCGCCAGCGCGCAGCCCCGGCACTCGGGTGTGTACGTGTGCCGCGCCAACAAGCCCCGCACGCGCGACTTCGCCACGGCCGCCGCAGAGCTGCGGGTGCTGGGTGAGTCCGGGAGGCCGGGCAGGGCGGCGGGGCGTGGGCGGGCGTCCGCGGGACCGAGCCCGAGCCCGGACAGAGGGGAAGCTTGGGGCACGGGTGACGGGCGACTGGCGAAGGCTCGGGGAGGGTCCACCAAGGAACCAGGGCTGGAGAGGGGATCTGGAGGGTCCCGGGAGAGCCGGGCGGGGCTGGATTGGGGAGAAGCCGGCGTGGCCTGGGAGCGGGACGCCTCGGGGCAGGCAGAGCCCCTGGCACCCGCGCCCAGCGTCGCCCCTCCTGTCCCCAGCGGCCCCGGCCATCTCGCAAGCGCCCGAGGCGCTGTCGCGGACGCGGGCCAGCACCGCGCGTTTCGTGTGCCGCGCGTCCGGCGAGCCGCGGCCCGCGCTGCGCTGGCTGCACGACGGGGCGCCGCTGCGGCCCAACGGGCGTGTCAGGGTCCAGGGAGGCGGCGGCAGCCTGGTCATCACGCAGATCGGTCTGCAGGACGCCGGCTACTACCAGTGCGTGGCGGAGAACGGCGCGGGGACGGCGTGCGCCGCCGCCCCGCTGGCGGTCGTGGTGCGCGAGGGGCTGCCCAGCGCCCCCACGCGGGTCACAGCCACGCCGCTGAGCAGCTCCGCCGTGCTGGTGGCCTGGGAGCGGCCTGAGCTGCACAGCGAACAGATCATCGGGTTCTCCCTCCACTACCAGAAGGCACGGGGTAGGTCCGCCAAGGCCCAGGCGGGGCGCAGTGGGGAGGGGGCCCAAGTTGACCCCAGGATGACTGGACTGGAGGGTTGCCTGGCGGCTGCCTTTAGGGACTGGATGGGATGGTTTGGGCAGCCGTTTCCAGCCCTGTGCTGCAGGTGTGTGGGGCTCGGCTCCCACTCAGCTTAACCAACAGCAGCAGGAGTCATTTCAGTTAGACACCAGCAAGAACTTATCAACTAGCGGAAAATTAAGGCCAGTGAAGCCAGAAGCTGAGGGAGTTTAAACTCCCCAGTTCACAGCAGCTGAGATGGTTTAGCTAAGACTGTTCCAGAGGCTGGGACAGCAGGAAGGAATCTAGACAGACACCAACCAGCCCCGGGACGGTCCCTGTGTCCCCTGTGTCATCTTCCCAGGCATGGACAATGTGGAATACCAGTTTGCAGTGAACAATGACACCACCGAGCTGCAGGTCCGCGACCTGGAGCCCAACACCGACTATGAGTTCTACGTGGTGGCCTACTCCCAGCTGGGGGCCAGCCGCACCTCCACCCCCACGCTCGTCCACACCTTGGATGATGGTAGGTGCAGACAGGACCACCTGCCACCCGCGGCAGTGGCTTGGGGCCCAGAGTGTTCCCTGGGGCTGTCGCTTGCCCTCTCTCACCAGCGTGTGCCGGGCACCTCTGCCTGCCTCGTGTCATCCTCTCTGCCCTACAAGGGAGTGGGCACAACTTCTGCTCCTCAGTTTACAGTTGGGGAAACAGGCCCAGGAAAATGACAGTGGCTTGTCCAAGGGCAGGAGTTCAGCCGGGACTCGAGCCCAGGTCCCGCGTTTTTCCCCGACACCCAGGTTCCATGCGGAGCCTTGTGGATGCCAATGTAGCACGCAGGGGCCAGTGACACTGACCCACTGGTTCTGCAAGGTGGTGCCCCCAGACTCTGCAGCACCAGGGTGGGAAGGGTGCGTCCTCGTCCTCCAGTATAGGGCTTCCTTGATGCCTCCCCCAGACCCGGGGCCTGGGCCACGTGGGCTGCCTTGCCACGTGGGCTGGGCGAGTCTCTGGCGGCTCCTGAGCCGCCCCACATCGGCCCGGGCGGAGCAGAGCTCACCCCGTGTGCTCGTGTCTCAGTCCCCAGCACGGCGCCCCAGCTCTCCCTGTCCAGCCCCAACCCCTCGGAGATCAGGCTGGCGTGGCTGCCCCTGCCCCCCAGCCTGAGCAACGGGCAGGTGGTGAAGTACAAGGTCGAGTACGGTTTAGGGAAGGAAGGTGAGCAGGGGCGGGTGCGGCTGGGCGTGGTGGGCCTGGGGAAATGAGGGTGACCCTGGGAAACACTGTGGGCTGGGGAGTGCAGGCAGAGGGAGGCCTCTGAGCAGCCGCGGTGTGGGTTCCTGCCGCTGTTCCCTGAGCGGGGACCGCTTGGTTCAACACCCAGGGGAAGGCATTGGGAAAAGTGAGGTGCTGGGAAGCCTGTGCTAGGGCAGGTGTGGGTGATGTGGGGGAGGGGCTGGGAAAAGGATAAACAGAAGGCAAGTAAGTGGCTGGGGCCAGGGCGAGGAAGAGGAGGGAGGGAAGGAAAGGAGGCAGGCGTGGGGTAGTTGTCGGGCTCTAGGTGCCCTAGATGCCGGCTCGCACCTACTGACCCTCAAGGTCAGTCCCTTGGGCCTGCACCCTGTTGTGTGGGTTGGGGGCGGGATGCCTGTTGGTGGTTCGTAAGGGATGGGAGAGGCACGCCAGAGTCGGGGGCCCAAGAGTCAACCCTGGCGCTGTGGAGTCCGGGCAGGCCCTCGGTGGGCACCGGGGAGCCGGGATCAGAGGTGGAAGAGGTGGTGCAGGGGCATCCGGGGGCCCTGGTCCTCTTCTGTGTCTGCAGATCAGATCTTCTCCGCTGAGGTGCCGGGGAACGAGACCCAGCTGACGCTGCACTCGCTTCTGCCCAACAAGGGGTACCGCGTGCGGATCGCGGCCGGCACAGGGGCCGGCTACGGCGCCCCCTCCCAGTGGGTGCAGCACAGGACGCCCAGTGTGCACAACCAGAGCCATGGTATGGCTGCAGGGGATGGGCGGGGACGGTGGACATAACGGAGGGGGTGGCCAGGAGCCCTGGCTCCCTCCCCCTGCTTCCTGGGCGAGAGAGACCCGGAGCGAGGGAGCGGGCTGCACCCAGGTGTCCCTCCCGTGTGCCGTGTGACCCTGCCAGGCGCTGAGGCATCACCGGCTGCTGAGAGGAGGCTGGGGAATAAATAACGGGTTGCAAATAAAGGGCTCAGGTCCACAAGAAGCGCCCAAGAACTCCTTAGGCGGCAGGTGCTTCCACACGTAGGACTGTGGTGGCCCTGGCTGAGAAGCCCCATAGTGAGTGATGAAATGCAGACAGGACCCAGCACACGCGCCCTCTGGGTGGCACTGGGCAAGTGCCTTCTCTGAGCCTCAGTCTTCTTATCTGTAAAATGGGGATAACAGTACTTTTTTTTTCTATTTCATAAGGTTATGAGAAAAAAGTTAAAATACAAAGTGCTTAGAACAGGGTCCCACACATAGTAGGCCCCCCATTCTCAAGTTCCAACTGGGGCTCCCCCTCCTCATGGTGCCATTCTTCCTTCTCTGCCTGGGCAGCCCCTCACCCGCATTCCCCCTTCAGGAGACGTGCAGAGCCCTTCTCGGTGCCAGGCACTGGCAGCCTTGGCCCCGGGGTGCTCCTTGCTGGTCGGCAATGCCTGGGAGCCATCCCCTCCTGCCCAGCGCCCTGAGCTGGCAGGGGTGTGAGCCGCCCACGGGCTGCGCCCAGTACTGGGAGGACCGGCAGAGCTCTCACTGAATACCACCTCCCTGCCTCTCCCGGCTCTCCTCCCTTTCCCCGCCCCCAGTCCCTTTTGCCCCTGCAGAGCTGAAGGTGCGGGCGAGGATGGAGTCCCTGGTGGTGTCCTGGCAGCCGCCCCCGCACCCCACCCAGATCTCCGGCTACAAACTGTACTGGAGAGAGGTGGGGGCGGACGAGGAGGCTGACGGCGACCACCCCCTGGGGGGCCGTGGGGACCAGGAGTGGGACGTGGGGCCCGTGCGGCTCAAGAAAAAAGTGAAGCAGTATGAGCTGACCCGGCTAGGTGAGGAGCGCTGGGCGCAGGAGGAGGGGGAGGGGGAGACCCTGCTAGCCAGAGGGTGACCCTGTGCCGCCCCCAGTCCCCGGACAGCTGTATGAGGTGAAGCTCGTGGCCTTCAACAAGCATGAGGACGGCTACGCCGCCGTGTGGAAGGGCAAGACCGAGAAGGCTCCCACGCCAGGTGAGGGTGGCTGGGAGGCGGGGAGGCTGGGAGGCGGGCACACTGGGGAGCCCGGGAGTCAGCCGGGCCTGGGGGGCAGGTGGTGTGGGGTTTTCCGCCCACCCCCATGCCTGCTTTCCCCGGTCGGGGCCTCCTGTGCCGCACCTGCTTGTCATGGCTCGCGCGCTGTGCTTCCTGGGAGGGCTGGGGCACAGAGAAGCCTGATGAAGTCTTCAGGTGCACCCGCCCGTGTCACAGCGTCTACCAGATTAGCCCTCAACCCTACTGGAACCTACTGGAACCCTATAGGTTCCCTACTGGGAAGCTGGGGCTCAGGGAGGCAAGGGGCTTGTCCCAGGCGGGTGGCACGGAGCCCAGACTGGCACCAGGACTCCTGGCTTCCTGGCATCCCCCCACCCCTGGTGCTCACCCACATGGCTTCACAGGATAAGCACGCACGCTGAAAACCTGGGTTCTGAATCGCATGCTCGTGTTCATTCGGCCAATACTGTGCTGAGCGCACCAGCTCTGTTCTGGGAAGGCAGTGGTGAACCACACAAATAAGGTCCCTGCTCCGCACAGTCTTGTCTGTTTTCATGATCAACACTGATCATCATAGCACACCTCCAATGTGACAGCACTTTCCTCTCTGCTTTACATCCTCATTAAAAACAACCCCATGGGCTAGGTACTATTATCATTCCCACCTACAGATAGGGAATGGAAGCACAGAGCAGTTAAGTAAGCTCTTCAAGGTCACACAGCTGGTCAGGGGCAGAGCTGGAATTTGAACCGAGACAGCCGGGCTCTGGGCTCTGGGCTCTGAATTGTCGTGGTCTGTTGCACCTGTCTCTATTATTCTCACGGGCCAGTCATCCACAGTCTGCGATACGTATGACCTTGGCAAACATCCCTGAATTTCTTGGGAGCCTCAGTTTCTTTATCTGTGAAGTGGGATGGTGCCACTCACCTCCTAGCCTCGAAGGAGAGGGTGACAGAGCCCCAGGAACCGTGACCCACTGCACTGCTTTCCGTCTCGCAGACCTCCCCATCCAGAGGGGACCCCCCTTGCCACCGGCCCACGTCCACGCAGAATCAAACAGCTCCACGTCCATCTGGCTGCGGTGGAAAAAGCCAGACTTCACCACGGTCAAGATCGTCAACTACACCGTGCGCTTCAGCCCCTGGGGGCTCCGCAATGCCTCGCTGGTCACCTATTACACCAGGTGGGCAGAGGGCTCTGCTGGGGAGGGCGGAGGAAGGGCGGGGTGCGGTGGGGGTGTGAGCAGGGGGCCCTTGCATCCAGGGACATGTTCGCAGCTCCCACTCTCCCACTGAGGGTCTGCGGGGGCTCCGCCTCCTGCCTGCTGGCCTTGTCCCCACCCTGAGAAGGGGGTGGGCGGCAGGGACTCCTGCTGTGGTTCTCTTGGGGCCTCCTAGCCAGAGCCTGAGCTGCTGCTCAGTGGGCAGGGGAGACCCTGCGTAAGAGGCACCTGAGCCGTACAGATGCAGCAAAGGCAGAATCAAGCCAATGAGAAGACACACACAGAGGGTCCCTTGGGCGGAGAGGAACTTGGCTTAGTCCAGGAGGGTTTCCTGGAGGAGGGGGCTTGACTTGGAGATCAGACACAGCCCTCTGTAGGTCCTCTGGGAGGTGTCAGTGAGTGGCCCCTGTGCCAGCCCCTGGCAACTCCCCTGCCCAGGGTAGGGCCAGGGCTGAGGGCAGGGGAGTGGCCCTGGGGGCGTGCCCTGCCGGGAGAGGTGCTCACTGCGCTGGCCTCGGCAGCCCGGGGGAGGACATTCTCATCGGCGGCCTGAAGCCCTTCACCAAGTACGAGTTCGCGGTGCAGTCCCACGGGGTGGACATGGACGGCCCTTTCGGCTCTGTGGTCGAGCGCTCCACCCTGCCTGACCGTGAGTGGTCCCCTGGTCCCCTGCCGCCTGCAGCTCCTGCCCCCGCAGCCCTCAGAGCTCCCCACCATGTGTGGCAGAGCTGGGTGGAGGTCTCCCCCCACTTCCCTTCCCCACTTCCGGTTTCCCAGAGACTTTCCCCCACCCAGCCGCCAGGCACCATCTCTGCACTGTGGGCTGTTCAGTGATGGAGAAAGACGGGGGTCCGTGACCTCCTGCCCCGGCTCCCAGCTGGGCTCTCCCTGTCCTCTCCCCTGCACCCCAGGGCCCTCGACTCCCCCCTCTGACCTACGCCTGAGCCCCCTGACGCCGTCCACCGTCCGGCTGCACTGGTGCCCGCCCACGGAGCCCAATGGCGAGATCGTGGAGTACCTGATCCTGTACAGCAACAACCACTCCCAGCCCGAGCACCAGTGGACGCTGCTCACCACGGAGGGTGAGAGCCTCGCCCCCACCCAAGGCCCGCGCCAGTGGCGGCTCGGCTGGCCGGGGAGCCGGGCCGAAGTTTGTGGGGTGGGGCTTCTGGGAGGAGCCGACTTTGTCAGCTCCGCCCCCAGCCACGCCCTGCTCTCCCCGCATCCCAGGAAACATCTTCAGCGCCGAGGTGCACGGCCTGGAGAGTGACACACGGTACTTCTTCAAGATGGGCGCGCGCACGGAGGTGGGGCCGGGGCCCTTCTCCCACCTGCAAGATGTGATCACGCTGCAGGAGAGGCTCTCAGGTATGGGGGGCCGGGGGGAGGGCGGGGAGGCGGGGCCCACCCCTACCCCCACCCCCACCCCGGGCAGCTCCTGCCTTGGGCATGAGCACACTTCCTCCCAGTGCACTTTGGAAAAGGACCCTGGGCTGGTCCTGGCGTGTGATTGACAGGTCACATTCGCGGGCAACCGGCTTGGGTTAGAGAGCGGTTTCTTGGGGGGATGGCTTTGAACAGAGACCTGGCTTGGTGGGGTGACGAGCTTTGTGGGGCGCAGGCGGGCAGCAGGAGCTGCTCAGGGCCCCTTATTTTTAAGAAACTGCTAAGAAAGCCGGCGCCGTGGCTCAGTAGGCTAATCCTCCACCTTGCGGCGCCGGCACACCGGGTTCTAGTCCCGGTTTGGGCGCCGGATTCTGTCCCGGTTGCCCCTCTTCCAGGCCAGCTCTCTGCTACGGCCAAGGAGTGCAGTGGAGGATGGCCCAGGTGCTTGGGCCCTGCACCCCATGGGAGACCAGGAAAAGCACCTGGATCCTAGCTCCTACCATCGGATCAGCGCGGTGCGCCGGCTGCAGCGGCGGCCATTGGAGGGTGAACCAATGGCAAAGGAAGACCTTTCTCTCTCTGTCTCTCTCTCTCACTGTCCACTCTGCCTGTCAAAAAAAAAAAAAAAAAGAAACTGCTAAGAATTTTCAGACAGCGACAGCAGAGCAGCGGGGCCCCGGGACTCAGGTGTGCGGGGAACCCAGTGAGCGGGAGAGGTAGTGGTGGTGGCTGTGAGGCCGCAGGGCCCTCCTGTCCTCATGCCAGCAGGTTGCCGTGTGTCCTGCGGCAGCCATGAGCAGCCCCGGTGTGGGAGCCGTGCGCCCGTGTCCTGGCTCTCGCCCGCCTCACCCCTTCCCCTCCCCCTTCCCTGAAGACTCCCTGGATGTGCACTCGGTCACCGGCATCATCGTGGGCGTGTGCCTGGGCCTCCTCTGCCTCCTGGCCTGCATGTGTGCTGGCTTGCGCCGCAGTCCCCACAGGTGGGCCAGGGGGACTTCCAGGAGGGGCTCCGGCCAGCGGGGGCGGCGCTGGGATGCACCTGTGATCCGGGGCTTGAGGGGCAGGGGTGATGCTGTCAGGCGAATGGGGGTGGGCTTAGGGGAGCCCCTAGCCAACACCCCACGGTAAGGCTGGCAGAGCTTCCTCAGTCACCGCCAGCCTCTTGGAAGCAGCCACTCAGGAGCTGGGGAGGAAGCCACGCCCCAGAGCCAGGCAGGAACCCGCCCGGAGTCCCCTGCTGGCCTGTGTCCCAGCCCCGCTGGCCCTCACTGCGCACTGAGCCTTGTTTCCACCTCCTGCTCCAGGGAATCCCTCCCAGGCCTGTCTTCCACGGCCACCACTGGGAACCCAGCGCTGTACTCCAGAGCCCGGCTCGGCCCTCCAAGTCCCCCAGCTGCCCATGAACTGGAGTCCCTTGTGCACCCCCGCCCCCAGGACTGGTCCCCACCGCTCTCAGACCTGGAGGACAGGGCTGAAGTGCACAGCCTTATGGGAGGCGGTGTCTCCGACGGCCGGAGCCACTCCAAGAGAAAGGTGAGCCTGGAGCTGGGCTCATTTCCAATAGGACACCAGGGGGCGCCAGAGGGCAGCGTGTCCCCCTGGCCACCAGCTTACTGGACCAGCTGAGCTGTGCTCTCCTCCAGGAACCCGCTGGGGCGGGAGGCAAGTGGGCATTTATCCCCTGCCTGGTTCCCACGGAGGGGAGGGCCCCCAATGGGGCTTTGCAGGTTACTGGGAATGGCCGGTACAGCCGGATCTGTCCTCATCCTGGGAGCTGGGCAGACCTCTGAGACGCAGCCTTCCCCAGTGTGGGGACAAGAGGCTGGCCAGCTTGGCTGTGGCCCAGGGGTCTGGGGACCGGGACAAGGTGAGGGCCCTCCATTCCATCAGTGTCCCAATTTCTGTCCCCTTCTGCCTGCATCTGTGCATGGGAACCCCGGGCTGGCTGAGCACCTGCCCCGGGGCTCACCTGCAGGGCCACCTTATCCTGAATCCTCTCCGGCTGACTCCCAGCCCCACACTGGGGAGGCCAGGAGTCTGGGCCTGCTTCCCTGTGGCCCCTCCACTTCCCTCCCTTGTCCCTCCCCCACCCTCCCCAGCCCGGCCAATCCTGATCAGACCCCTCCCTCCCGGGGTCCTCCTCTCTTGCCTGTGCAGATCTCCTGGGCTCAGCCCGGTGGGCCAACCTGGGCAGGTTCCTGGGCGGGCTGTGAGCTGCCCCAGGCAGGCCCCAGGCCCGCTGTGACCCGGGCCCTACTGCCCCCTGCCGGTACCGGGCAGACGCTGCTGCTGCAGGCTCTGGTGTATGACGCCATCAAGGTCAGTGACCCGGGAGGGCGGGGTCTGCGTGCGTGTGGAGAGGAAGCCGTGGGCGCCCTGAGACCCCTGGGCTTCCAGGAGGACTCCTGTGTAGCCGGGGCCTTCAAAGCTTGGAGGGGCTTTTCAGGAACTGGCTTCTGTGGGTTGGGGACGGTCCTTTGGCCACCTGTGCCAGAGTGGGCCGCGTGGCACGTCCAGAACCGCGGGGCCAGGTGCTTGGGTAGAATTCCTTCGTGTGAGTCTGGACGTCCCCTTTGGCGTCCCCTCGGTGCTGCCCATGTGATGATGCTGTGACCGAGGGTCAGCCCCTCTGCGCCCCACGCACTGACAGCGACGGCCACGTTGTGTGTTCTCTGCTCTGCCCAGGGCAATGGGAGGAAGAAGGCGCCGCCAGCCTGCAGGAACCAAGTGGAGGCAGAGGTCATTGTCCACTCGGACTTCAGTGCCTCCAACGGGAGCCCTGACCTCCATTTCCAAGACCTGGAGCCTGAGAGTCCGCTTCCTGTGGAGGCTCCTGATCTCACCTCGGCGGGCGCTGGGGGTCTCGGGCAGGGGGCAGACTGGCCGGACAGGGGCCTGGGAGGGTGTGAGCCGGCAGCCCCGGGGCCAGACAAGCTCAGCTGCCTGCCAGAGGTGGCCAGTGCTCCCTGTCCCTTCCCGGACCTCCTGCCCAGTGAGGCCTTGGAGGAGGCCCCTGGGAACAGCTGCCAGCCCAAAGCCCCCTGCCCGCTGGGAGCCAGCCCCAGCCCGCCCAGAGCCCCGGTCTCCTCCTCTGCGTAGCTCCCTAGAAGGGTGCAGTGTGGGGCAAGCTGGTCTGCATCAAGGGATTCGACACACACAGCCCCGCATGTACACAGTGCACCTGCAGATCCTGAACTCATCAAGCCCTTCAGAGCCTCCTAGGGATGGATCATCCACTGCCCCCGTACTCTTTGTGACACATATGTGTTCTGTGAGAGACGCGTGAGACACAGCACATGTGATGTGAAGCACATGTGTGTGCACTGGGTGGTCTGGGAAGCCGTGGGCCAGGCAGTGGGCAGTCTGACCCTCCAGGTCAGGGCGGTGGCCCCGAGTGGTCAGGCCCCAGCCTAGTCCCCCAGCCTTCTATTACACACTCTGGGAGTGTCTCCTGCACCCTGGCTGACAAAGACAGCCCCAGCCTGCTCTCCTGTCCCACTGGGCTGGGACAGCCTCTTTCCCCACTCCCCACTGCCCACATCCACAGGGTGACCCTGGCACCCCCGGGAGCAACTCTGCATTTCGCTTTGTGATTTGGGAAGTGCCTGGCTTTGAGACTCTGCTTCCTCTCACCCTGCCTGCTTCTTGTTCCTCCCCCCTTCACTGATCCAGTGGCCTGGCCCCAGTCCTGGTGCCCCCAACCCCCCAGCTGTCTCTCACGCCTCTCTCGGACGGTGTCATCTGCTTCTCCCACCTGAGCTGCCTCTTGGCACCCTTCCCTAACAACATGGCTACCTCATGCCCACTTCAAGGCCATGGCTGGGCTCCTGTGCCCGCTGTGGACCTCCCCCCACACCCCCCTGCCCCCTCTGCTCTCAGCACCCCGCACGCCCCCTCTGCAGGCCTATGGCTCACCCCAGGCATGGGGTTGGAGACGATCGTCCAGCTTCCCTGTGTCTTTCTCCTGGGGGCTGGGACAGGAGGAGGTGAGGGGTCCAAGTCATAGGGGGAAGGGGCCGTGACCCCGAGGCGCCGAGGACAATGACTCCGTTCTGTGCTGGGCCCTGGTTTCTGACCTTTCTTCCCAGCTGACGATAAGGGCAGGAGGGGAGCTGCAGCCTAGTGGCTTCCCGCCCTGTGCACTTCGCATTTGACCCGATCCTGGGCGTGCGTGAAGAGGAGGACTTTGCACAGAAGAAGGGTGGTTGGCTTGATTCGTTTCATTTTTCCTTTATGCCGTATCCTGAAGTCATTTTCTGTCGAAGAAGCTTGACTTCTGTCTCCTGTGTAGTGACAACAACGCCATCTATTAGATTTTTCACCTCTGCCCTCTCATAAGAGCACAGAGTGGGGTCTTTGCTTCCCTACTTGAATCTGATCGGCACATCAAGAGTTAACTCTGGCTTCCGGGCCAAATTAGAAATAACTAGTCTATCTTTCTTTTCTTTAAAAAAAAAAAAAAAAAAAGTGGTGAACTGTCTCCCAGCAGAGTTGCAGCTTCCTTGAGCCGGAAAGCATCCGTGTTTATTGCACTCGGTGTCACTCACGTCTCACATCTGCACCTGCATCTCGCCACCCACCCCCAGCCAGCCTAGGATAACACTAAAGATTATTAATGTTGGTCTTGTCTCTCGTTAAAGACAGAGTTGTCACTTGCACCGTTTCAGCAGCGCTCAGCGTGGCTGCGGCTAACACCACCGTATATGTTTCATCATTGCTTTGAAGGTCAAAAGCCTCATTTTATTTTGCTGGTTTGATTTTTTTTTTTAAGGAAAAAAAAAAAAACTGGCCTGAATTCAACGGCTGTTTTAACAGTAAGCTCTTAGCGTTATACCACGTAGTCATTTTTCATGTTCTTGTTTAACAGGCACCGAGGTTCTGGTTTAAATTAAATAGCTGCAAATGAGACAATTTATAACCCATTAGGTTGGGTGGAAAATTGTTTCTCAAAAGCAAATAAGTAATAAATCTGGTATCTGCCTATAACTCAGAGTTGATAAGAAAGTGGCCATTACTCACTAGCATTATATATGATTTGGGCTCTGGGTAATTTTGAAGTGTTAGCCTTGTGTCTTTGTAGCTGTATTTTTATTAGAAAAGAGTCTCTCGGCCTTGTACAGGGTATGAAGCCCTTTGTCACCTACCATGGATGCCTTAAGTTTTCTGAGTCTCATTTTTTAAATCTTCCTTTTCTTGATGCATGACAAGCATAATCAGTACTTGCTCATTTATTTGTCTGTATTTAGTTCATGTTGTATTATTTAATTATTTTTCCAGCATTTTTTTCTCCTTACAATTATATTCTTTAGTGTTAAGCTAAGGCATTGATCATGTATCTTTCCCCCTAATGGATTAATAAACTATTTTCCAGAAGTGTGTGTGTGATTCTCTATGGGACAAATGACTGGCATTCTCTCAGCTTTTGTGTCCTCAGAGTTTATCTTTTTAATTTATTTTTTTAAAAAGATTTATTTATTTATTTGAAAAGCAGAGTTACAGAGAAGCATAGGCAGAGAGAGAGGTCTTCAATCCGCTGGTTTACTTTCCAAATGATCACAACAACCAGAGCTGCGCCAGTCCGAAGCCGGGAGCCAGGAGCTTCTTCCAGATCTCCCGTGCAGGTGCAGGGGCCCAAGCACTTGGGCCATCTTCTACTGCTTTCCCAGGCCATAGCAGAGAGCTGGATCGGAAGTGGAGCAGCCAGGACTCAAACCTGCACCCATATGGGATGCCAGCACTGCAAGTGGTGGCTTTACCCACTACTCCACAGTGCTGGCACCCCGTACAGAGTTTATTTCCTAAACTGGGATAGAGGAAGATGTCTTCCATCTACTGGTTTACTCCCCAAATGACTGCAAGAGGCAGCTCTGGGCCAGGCCAAAGCCGGGAGCCAGGAATTCCATCTTGGTCTCTTACATGGGTGGCGGGGGCCCAAGTGCTTGGACCATCTTCTACTGCCACCCCAGGAGCATTAACAGGAAGCTAGATGGAAAGTGGAGCAGCAGGAGCTCAGGATATGGGATGCCAGTGACATTGCAAGCAGTGGCTTAACCCAGTGTACCACAATGCCAGCCCCAAGAGGTGCTCTTGGATGGCATTTGTTTTGGCATTCTAAAGATCTCCATCTGGGCACACAATTTTATTTTTTTAAGGTAGAGCATGAGAGAGAGACAGAGAGAACTTCCACCTGCTGGTTTGTTCCCCAAATGCCTGTAGCAGCCAGGGCTGGACCAGGTCAAAGCCAGGAGCCAGGAACTCCTGGGTGGCGGGGATTCGAGTACTTGAGCCATGTCACCTGCTGCTTCCCAGTGTGTGGGTTAGCAGGGAGCTGGACTAGGATGCGGAGCAGGGAGTGGAACCCAGGCCCTCGGGTAGGGGATGCAGCTTCTTAACAAATGTCTGTCTCCGGGCACACACCCTTGTTGAAACTTCTCAGGCAGAGGAAGGGTGAACAAACAGCTCCGGGGTGTGTGGGCTCCACCACTCTCCTCCCGTGAAATTACCCATGGCTGCACTTCACAGACATCCTGGCCCGTTAACCACGCACAGTCTCACAAAGTTACACACACACACACACACACACACACACAGGCAGCTGCTGTCTGCTGAGGTCTCACTGTTTCCACTGGAGGGCAGTGAGAGCCAGAGGCTCGAGACCACCCCCAAAGTGGTGGTGGGCCAGCCCCCCCCCCCAGGTAACTGACAGATCATACAGAGAGATACTGCACATTTTGCACGCCTCAGAATAGCCATGTATTTGCATATCAGTCTCAGACCAAGGGCTGTGATAAAAAGAATTAAACACTTGTCAAGATGAATTTAAAATGACAGCAATTCAGGACAACAATTTGACCTTTCCAGAGTCCTGCACGAGCCGAGAAGCAACCTTGCAGAAAGGAGCTCTGTGACTTTGGGCCCTGGCAGGGGCTGTCCTTCCCTCCTTGCCTGTGGCCAGGAGAGCCCCATCCGTCCCTCGCTTCCTCACCATGAAGTGCAGTGGGGGTTCTGGCACACTGGGGTCGCCCATCTTGAAGTTCTCCACCGCTTCCCACAGCTCACATGCCTCAAGCCTGGCTTCTCTGGCTCATCTTTCAGTTGCCACTGCAGCTGCATGAGGAGTCCCTGGGTTGTACAGACCCATCATTAATAAACTGTCTCGCCCGGCACCGCAGCTCAATAGGCTAATCCTCGGCCTGTGGCGTTGGCACACCGGGTTCTAGTCCTGGTCAGGGCGCCGGATTCTGTCCAGGTTGCCCCTCTTCCAGGCCAGCTCTCTGCTGTGGCCCGGGAAGGCAGTGGAGGATGGCCCAAGTGCTTGGGCCCTGCACCCCATGGGAGACCAGGAGAAGCACCTGGCTCCTGCCTTCACATCAGCGCGGTGCGCCGACTGCAGCGGTCATTGGAGGGTGAACCAACGATAAAGGAAGACCTTTCTCTCTGTCTCTCTCTCTCACTGTGCACTCTGCCTGTCAATAAAATAAAATAAAATAAACTGGCCCGCAGCACTGTGGCACAGCAGATTAAAGCCCCGGCCTGTAGCGCCGGCATTCCATATGGGCTCCAGTTTGAGTCCTGGCTGCTCCACTTCCAATCCAGCTCCCTGCTAATGTGCCTGGGAAAGCAGTGGGGGATAGTCCAAGTGCTTGGGACCCTGCACCCACGTGGGAGATCCAGAAGAAGCTCCTGGCTCCTGGCTTCAGATTGACCCAGCTCCGGCCATTGTGGCCATTTGGGGGAGAGCCAGTGGATGGAAGACCTCTCTCTCTCTACCTTTCTCTGTAACTCTGTCTTTCAAATAAATAAATTAAATTTGAAATAAATAAACTGTTCTGGGGCCAATGCGGTGGTATAGGGGTTGAGCCTCTGTGACACCAGCATCCCATAGGTACACCTGTTTGAGGCCCTGCTGCTCCCTGCTGGTGGGCCTCGGGAAGCAGCAGAGGATGGCTCAAGTGCTTGGGCTCCTGCACCCCCATGAGGGACCCAGAGGAAGTTCCTGGCTCTGGTTTGGGATTGGCACAACTGGCAGTTGCAGCCATCTGGGGAGTGAACCAGTGAATGGAAGATCTCTCTGTCTCTCTCTGGATCTTTGCCTTTCAAATAAATGTATTTAAAAATAAATAAATAAATAGGCCCATCTCCAGGCAGTCTGATTCAAAACTGGTTGTATACATGTGGTTTGCCCCGCTGCTCCTAAGCTTCCAGAGCTGGTGTCAAACAAGAGAATCCTAACCCTGTCGTGCCAGCCAAAGCCTCGAGTCAAGAGATGAGAGAGCCAGAAAGCACCAGCTCCCAAAACTCAGAAGCTGCTGGATCATTTTGAGGGAGCGGCCCATCACCGTGGTGCAGAATAATAGGGACCCGCGGGAGTCCCAAGCTCCGGGGTCCACGTGGGTGGGCGTCTCCCAAGACAGCCCACCTGCTCCTTCTCCCGTCACCCTGGCCTTTCCTGTGGTCTCTGACTTGAAACACGGGACAGCTTGGTGGCCCAGAGTCGTGAGTGGGAATTTTAACTTCGGTGGGCTTTTCCAGTGACCGGGTCATCTGAGCTGTTTAAAGGTCTGCTTGTCTTCACCTTCAGCTCGCGACTGCCTGGGTCGGCCGGGCCACGCAGCCGGCGGAACCCTTGCATTCTCAGGCGGCCCGGCAATTCAGGGCGACCCAGTCCGCGGAGGCTGATCCTGCCCCTAAACCACCTCGCCTCTGCGTGCAAAGACCGGAAACCCTTGGAGAGCCGAACCGCTGACAACTTCGCGCAGCTTTTAGGCAACGGCCTCTAAAACCTAGACTCGGATGCAGCGGAGGAGGGCGCGGCAGGCAGAGTGGCTCGGAGCAAACCCCGCAGCTGGGCGCGTTTCTCCGCAGCCGGGACCCACTTCCCCAGGCCCCCGAGTCCTGAGGCTGACGGGAGGGGTCCCGGGCTGCAGCCCGGGACGGCGCCGGCCGCTCCAGCCGCAGTTCAAAGCGCAGGGGGCGCGTCCGCCGCGCAGCCGGGAATGTCCGGCCGCTTAAAGCGCTCGCCGGCTCTTTTGTTCCCCAGACCGGGCCTCCGGGGAGAGGGGCTGGGGGAGGGGACCGGGCGGGGAGGGGAGGGGGGCGGCGGGCAGAGGAGGAGGGCGGGGCGGCGCGGGCTGTGCGAGTGCGGAGCGCGCACCCCGGGCGAGGCTGACAGATCGCCAGGGTGGGTGCAAGATGGCGCAAGCGGCGCTCCCCCTGTGCGCCCCGCGCTCCTAGGCAGGCATGCGGCCCCAGCCCCCTGCCGCCTGGGCTCGGCCCCGGCCGGAGCCCCGGCGCCGGCCCCGGCGCCGACCCCGCGGGACGCTGTGAGCTGCGAGAGGCCCGGGAGCCGCGCGTTGCCGAGCCGAGCGGACCCCCAGCCCCATGGCTGCACCGCGCGCCGCGTCCCCGCGCCGCCCGCCCGCGCCGCGCTGGCACTGGCTCCTGCTGCTGCTGCCGCTGTTGCTGCTGCTGCCCGCGCCGAGCGAGGGTGAGCGAGGGTGGCCGTGGCCCGGGCGGCTCCGGACCGAGCATGGGGGAGAGCGAGAGGGGCGTACGTGGGCGCGAGGGGCGCACCCGGAGAGAGCTGCGGACCTGCGCACGAACCCCTCGCGGGAGGGACCGAGTGGGAGGAAGCGTAGCGGGACGGGGAGAAGCGGGGAGGTAGAGCTGCCGGGGGCCGAAAGGGAGTGCCGAGGACCGGGCTTCGGGGGAGAGACCAGGACTCGGTCCCCTGCGGCTCCGGGACTCCGAGCAGGACCCAGAGCCGGGACCGAGGAGTAAGGAGTGCGGCGAGGCAAGAGATAGAGGGGCGGGCTGGCCTTGGGGACCGACGGGAATGAGCCAGGGGAGACCCCGCGGCCGGTTCCCAATCGAGGGTGTGAGCTGAGTGCGCGGAGCCTGTCGGTGGCCCCCGAGTAGCCCCAGGTGACCGAGGCTGGAGACCGCAGCCAGGGGCCGGGGACCGGGGGCTGGGGGCCGGGACCCGGGACCCAGCCGGCTGCGCGGAGCGGAGAGGGCGCGTCCTGGATTTGGAGCTGGGAGCTGGCCAGTGAGTGCGCGGGAGAGTCCCAGGAGGAGGAAGAGGAGGGAGATTTCCGCCGGCGGCGCGTGGGGAGGGGGCAGCCGAGGACAGAACCTTGGAGCCAAGACCGGGAGATGCCCCGGAGCGCGAGCTCTCGAGAGCGGCGAGGATGCCTAGGTCCCCGCCCTCCTGGGAGCGTGCGCCTGCGGAGAGACCCTGCCCCCGGCTCGCGGGCCGGGGCGGCTTTGCAGTGCTTAGCTCGACCACCTCCGCGGCGTTCCCTCGGTGGCTGTTTCGGGCCCAGGTCCCCGGAGACCGGTGCAGATCCAGCCCCTTCCCATCCACCGCCGAG